CTGTCTCTCAAGAATGAGGTCATGTCTACAGAACACATATGTGGGAGAAAAAGTGTTAGATAAGTAGTGAGATTTAGAGCTGTTGATTTTGTAAGATATAAAATTATAATAAACTTTAAATTTTTGAATATGAGAATCTTGGATTTTAAAAATATATATTGAGCCAGACATTTAAGAGTTCACCACTGTGAGTTTCTCACTCAACATTGAGCAAGCCTGAACACATCAGTCTCTCTACTGTATGAAAAGCACAACTCCTCACCTCCATTCCCAACAAGTTAACAAAAGACGACAAAACTGAAGTCTTCTCCCTGATGCCCAAATGGTGGAACACAGGAAAGAGTCAAAAGCTGAACTACCGTAACCATATAACCATCCTCCCTGCTTTCAAGGGCTGGTATTCCCATCTAGTTTTTTGAAGGGAAAGAAAAAAAAAAAAACCACTGTAAATTTTCTTATTTGGTAAAAATATATGAACATTTTTAAAAAATAACTGGCCAAACTATATTTTAGCAAAGAGCTAAATTATGTCCATAAACATGAGTGATGAAATATTTAAAATAAGATTAAAAAACAAGTAAAAATAATATGCTTAGAAGAGGCAGTGAAATAAACACCTTTATATATGGCTTTTTTCATATTCCTCCACCTCATCTCTTCTTTTCCTTCTTTTCTTCACTAAGGACATGTTATGAAGTAGTTTCTAGATCTGGGCAAGAATGAGTTAAAACTATCATGATTCACAAAATAGATACTTATGATAAAATTAGTTCTACATACATGCATAAGTATACTCATAAAGGAATATGCAAATGATCTCTACATATATGGATGACTATGAAGAAAAGTAAGTAGTACATATATTGATATGAAAGGATATGAATTTTAAACATGTAAGAATTTATCTTAATGAGCGTCATCCTTCAAAGTACAGAAGATTATTCTAATTGACAGAGAACCTCGAACAGAGTCTGCGGTGCTCCATTCCAATAAGCAATCCGGAGCCACTAAGCAAAGAACACGAGACTTCCCTGATGGCTCAGCAGTGCAGAATCTGCCCACAGTGCAGAAGACACAGGAGATGTGGGTTTGATCCCTGGGTTGGGAAGATCCCCTGGAAGAGGAAATGGCTACCCACTCCAGTATTCTTTCCTGAAAAATCCCATGGACAGAGGAGCCTGGCAAGCTACAGTCCAAAGGATCAAAAAGACATGACTGAGCAACTGGGCACAGAGCAGCACAGGGAGGGACATAAAGCGATGTTTAAATTAACATACAATTTAATAAATAATGCTACACTGTAAAAGCAGAATTAGCCAAAAATTCAATTATGTTAGATAATGGACAAAAGAAAAGGAGTAGCCTCCCCCTCCCCTCAAAAACAAAAAGCTGAAAATTTTAAGCCTGGAGAATCATGAAAATGTTAGTATCACTGGAGATACTAACATCAGGGGAGATTACAGAGCAAGTTAAAGAAAATGAACCCTGTTTTAGATACGCTGCATATGATATTTCAGAGGAACCCTCAATTGTCAATTTGATTTAATTGACAATCAAAGCTGGAAACACATTAGAGACAGAAAAAATAAGCCTCGTCAACACAGAAATGACAGTTAAAGCCTTAAAAGTAGAAGATATCTGAAGTAAATGTAGAATAATGATGAAGAATAATAAAGGGAAGCAAGGCATATTGGTGACTGAACTTTAGGGAATACCCTCTGTGTTACCAAAGAAGCACTACATAGTACTTATCACACAGTATTTTATTTTCACACTGTATTTTATTATAATGTCCTTGTGGCAAGACAGAGGTTCAATAAAGGTTTACTGGACAAAAGTACAAATAATTAGGGACAGAGAAGAAAGAAAATTTTTAAAGAACATAAACCATTAGAGAGGTAGGAAACCAGGGAGATTATCTTGGTCATTGTTTATTGCTGTTGCTGTTGTTTAGTCCCTAAATTGTGTCCGATTCTTTGCAACCCCACGGATTGCAGCATATTAGGCTCCTCTGTTTTCCACTATCTCCTGGAGCTTGCTCAAATTCATGTCCATTGAGTCAGTGATGCTATCAAATCATCTCATCTGTCATTAATCCAGCATAAAGAAAACACCCAGAAATATGAGCCTGTTTGTATAAGAATTGATCTGAAGTATTCAAGAACCAGAGAAAAAGTTCCCCTAGAAAGAGGGGAGACCTTATTTTGGACACTGAAAGAAATCATCTGAGCAATGAAAAGGATTTAACAGCTAACAAATTGAATTCAGAGGCATACTATTAATTTTGTACAGATATGTGATTCTTTATCACCAGGAAATTTGGTGGTTAATCCATCAGCCACCAGAGACATACTGATGAAGTTAATTAATAGTGAAAAGATTTGCAAAAGGACCAATTTAAAGCAGTTTGCTAATATTATAGGAATGCTAAATAACAATAGTAATAAAGGCATAATTAATGGTACATAAACCAGAGAGCTAAGGGATTCAAATCTTAATCTTGGACAATTTCCTCTGTGAGCTTTACTGAGTTATTTTTGTTACTAATTAGCAAGAATAAATAGCATTATTGAGTGAAAGCTAATATGAGGCCTAACAGCTAGAGAGAAGACAGGCTAAAGTTGGCTACTAAATGTGACCGATGATGAGCAAATGACTCAACTTTTACACTTGATCTTAGCCAAAGGCCGAGAAGCAATAATGACTCAACTTCTATTGTGTACTTGATATGCAGTACTTCCTCTTTATACAAATGTTAGCCACCTCAACTTTATCACAAGGACATGAAAATAGTTTAAACAAATATGCACAAAATTTGTTAAAATAACAAATTAAGTCAAAAAGACACAAATAGTCTAAAGTTTGCATTAGCATAATAAACAGATGGTTATTCCATAAACTCTACTCAACACCCTCCCCCTAGTGTTAGCAATGACCGTAAAACCATCTCCCTGTACTCAGTTGGCTTTTCACTTTTTTCAAAGCACTTTCACAAATACTAGTCAAAGATTAGTCAAAGATCATGCATCATGTATGATCTAACCACTCATTGTGCCATACAGGTTTATGTTGCAGGAAACAGTCTTTCTCCTCCCTGGTGTTAATAACATATTCTCTTTTATTTTTATGAATTTTCATTTCTTTCAAAGCACTTTCACACACTTAAATGGAGCAGCAGCACTAAGAATGATCCTTCCACTCTTTGCATCATCTCAATGGCATAATCCAAAAAAGCAGAGAACTAAAAGACTGATAAATGGACTGGATGATTTTCAGGCAGTCAATTCATGATTCTTAAAGCTGAATTCAGATTTCCTGAAAGTCTTAGAATTGTAGCAAACTCTCCAGGACAGTAAGCCAATTCTCTCTTTCTTCCAGGCATTTGCTTTGGGAGGCAGTATAATTAAATAATTAAGATATCTTAAATGTGGGATTAAGGGGAGAAACCAAATATATCATGTTTACCAGTGTAACCCCTCTGTGTCAAGCACAAAGCTAAGTAAACAGTAAATACTCAATAAATCATTTTGATTGTCACCACAGGGAGAAAATTCTACCCAAGCTCCCACCGAATTTATCTCCTACAGAGTGAAGAACAAAAATCTCAATTTATTTTCTGTTTTATTACACTTCCTTAATAATTACTGCTTTTAAATGTGTGCACACCAAGCAGAATATAAACAAATTAAAACCACAGAGCAAAAAGCTGAAGTCTATTAGGGATCCAGGGTACAGACAGCTGGAAGATATCAATAGATCCAGAGGGCCAAGAAAATTTGAAAGGCAAATGGGAATACACCTGATGACCCTTAAATTAGCAAGCAAGCACTTTTAAATCCCCATGGTTAAACTAAAAACTACTTCAAAAAAGAAGTTTCAAAAGGCAAAACTGCTTCCTATATGTTTATGTCTTTAGTCTTTCATATTGTGAGTTGCAAAAAATACATATGGTAATTTTTTTTTCTTTGATATGACCAAGATAAAGGCAGGTACTTTGGTTTTAGGCAACTGAATTGCTGGAAATCTGGGTATAAATTAAAATTTTAAGCTGATTGTATTTTAAAAAGCATTAAGAAACCATGCCATTTTTAAAAGTCCAATGGAAAAAATAAATAAATAAATAAAAAGTCCAATGGTGGTACATTTCACAAACATATATTTTATAACATTATACCCTTCTAATGTAGCTTTTTGGTTGTTTCTATATTTAATACATGGCGTATTTCCTTAAAGAATGACAACATAAGTTCAAAAAACACTACAATCTACTTATATTTCAGATTTAATTGGGAAAAGTTTCTTTTAACAAATTATTTTGTAAAAGTTGTAAATTTAGCACTCTTTAGGAAAAGACAGGCCATTGGATAATAGTTACAAACCACACAGCCATAAAAGATAAAAAGGAAAGCACAGTGGTTCTCAAATCCTTCGGTTTCCTTAAACAAATGTATGTCCTTTGGCTGTAGAGTATTCTCAAGTCAAAGGAAAAAAAAACTTCTAAAATCAAGGTCACTGAAAACGCCTAAACCATACCAACTTTGACATGTGTAAAACAGTGTTAAAACTAGCCAGAATGATTTATAGTAAAAGCATTTTCCATACACTATTTCTCTGAGATAGATGGGAACAAATATTTTACTAAAGATTGTATTTCACATCTGGGAAAACTTTGCTTGAGGTTGTACGGAAAGTATTCAGAGAACAGTGACCTAGGTATCTTGCCTTAGGCCTAGACAATTTTTTTCCTGTATCTATACAATTTTATAGATCATCTTTCAGTAGGATTCTAGATAAACTAGAGGATAAACTACTGCATAAAACATATGTATACCCAAAAGGTATTCACTGTTTATCTGAAATTCCAATTTAAGTGGGAGTCATAGTTTTATTTGCTGTATCTGACAACCCTATCTTTCAGTATATATTGTTTGTTTCAGAAAATACCAAATTTATTGACTGGAAGAGACTTAATCTTGTGGAAGCTGGGTATAATTATTTACCTTTAAGGAACTTCTTGAGGACCAAACCACCATAAATGCTTCCTGCAGCAGCAACTGGAAGAAACAGAACACAAAGAAGTATCACAAATGAAGCAATTAAATGGATTTTATCTAAAGAATCATATGGGAGCCTGAAATCACTGTTGATAGATACAGAATATTTAAAAGATGGTCACTAATAATGACCATCATAGAGATCATAGAGAAAGCAAGGGAATTTCATGAATCCCAGAGAAAGCAAAGGAATTTCCGAAAAACATCTACTTCTGCTTCACTGACTACACTAAAGCCTTTGACTGTGAATCACAACTAACTGGAAAAAAAAGACACAGGACTATCAGACCACCTTATCTGTCTCCTGAGAAACTAATATTTGGGCCAAGAAGCAACAGTTAGAACAGGACATGGAACAACTGACTGGTTCAAAATTGAGAAAGGAGTACGTCAAGGCTGTATATTGTCACCCTGCTTATTTAACTTCTTTGCAGAGTACATCATGCAAAATGCTGGCCTGGATGACTCACAAGCTAGAATCAAGATTGCCGGGAGAAATATCAACAACCTCAGATATGCAGATGATATCACTCTAATGACAGGAAGTGAAGAGAAACTAAAGAGCCTCTTGATGAGGGTGAAAGAGGAGTGAAAAAGCTGGTTAAAACTGAATATTCAAAAAACTAAGATCCCAGCATCAGGTCCTGTCTTGCTGTATCTCACTGTTCCCTGAGGCGTGAGCCGGGAAGCTGCAAGAAAACACAAGGAGCCATAGGGACGGCAGACGCGTTTCTTCTCTCCTGACTGGCATGGCAGCCATAGCAGCAGCAGGCATGCTGTGGTCTCTCATGGCTGACCCAGCGGACACACCATAACCCGGTCACAACACAGCCATGATGAGGACACATGGCATTTCAGGTGGAGCTTATATATGTTTACACAACAAAAGAGGCCTGTGGCCAAGCCGATACATTGCGACGTGCATGCGCAGAGCTCTTACAAGTGCTCTCAGCTGTTACATAACCATGCGTTCACAGAATGTGGGGCCAGAGCACGAGGCCATGGCGTGAGAGAGCTTGACCATCACTATCTTGGCTGATTTGCTCTTTCCCCACAGGTCCCACCATTTCATGGCAAACAGAAGGGGAAAAGTGGAAACAGTGACAGATTCTATTTTCTTGGGCTCCAAAGTCATTGCAGACAATGACGGTAGCCATGAAGTTAAAAGACGCTTGCTCCTTACAAGAAAAGCTGAAACAAACCTAGACAGTGTATTAAAAAGCAAAGATATCACTTCATCGACAAAGGTCCATATAGTCAAAGCTATAGTTTTTCCAGTAGTCAAGTACGGATGTGAGAGTTGGACCAAAAGAAGAGTTGAATGCCAAAGAACTGATGCTTTCAAATTGTGGTGCTGGAGACAATTCTTGAGGGTCCCTAGGACTGCAAGGAAATCAAACCAGTCAATCCGAAAGGAAATCAATCCTGAATATTCATTGGAAGGGCTGAAGCTGAAGCTCCAATACTCTGGTCACCTGAGGCGAAGAGCTGACTCATTGGAAAAGACCCTGATACTGGAAAGATTGAAGGCAAAAGGAGAAGATGTCAGCAGAGGATAAGATGGTTAGATGGCATCACCGACTCAATAGACAAGAATCTGAGCAAACTTTGGGAGATAGTGAAGGACAGGGAAACCTGGCATGCTGCAGTCCATGGGGTCACAAAGAGTCGGACACAACTTAGTCACTGAACAACAACTAACAAAAAGCACCAAAGAAATACTGGAGACTACAACTATTCAGGGGCAGAATATCTTCTTAGAGGTGAGAACCAAATAGCAACTCCTTTACCCATATTAAATACCAGGGCTGCCTCTTGGATATTACTATTCCTGATAGAAAAAAAATCACAGGAAGACTGCAAAGTATGGCTAATAACCAGAGTATCTCATGCCAATAAGTCATTTTCCAGTATAAAATTCAATTAACATTTTTGGTCTTTCTTTTAACCAATTCAGTCTTTAGTAAATTTACTCTTTACCAGACTATCAGGTAAGAATTTTCTGTACCCAGAGTTCTAAATCAGAACATTAGAACACCTAGAACAATAATTCTTCAGGGAAAGAGGGTAAGTAAGGGAACAGGCCCCTAAGAGGGTGGGGAAGATCAGAACCACCTAGAGGCTTTTTTCCCCAAATAGAACATGCCTTCCCCCAAAGAGATGTGACCCCATAGTTAAGAATCTAAGAATAGGGAGGGGGGACTGGGATGGGGAATACATGTAAATCCATGGCTAATTCATTTCAATGTATGACAAAAACTACTGTAATGATGTAATTAGCCTCCAACTAATAAAAATAAATGGAAAAAAAAAAAGAAGAAAAAAAAAAAAAGAATCTAAGAATCACTGCAGTAAGAACCAATGGAAATGTGTCTATACCTCAAGAAATATGTATTCTTCTGGCAGGGATTAAAGGTTGAGAATCACTGATCTATAGTAAGAGGCAGTATCATTCTCCAAATATGTGCTGTCCAGTAGAGTAGCTGTGCGTGCATGCATGCTAAGTAGCTCAGTCATGTTCAACTCTTTGCAACCCTATGGACTGTAGCCCGCCAGGCTCCTCTGTCCATGAGACTCTCCAGGCAAGAATACTGGAGTGGGTTTCTTTGCCCTTCTCCAAAGGATCTTCTCAACCCAGGGATCAAACCCAGCGGCTTAAGTCTCCTGCTAGTTTTCTACCACTAGCGCCACCTGGGACGCCCAATACAGTAGCTACTAGCTATCAATACATGAGGCTATTTCAATTTAGCTAAATTAAATGAAAAATTCCTCTAACAACAATTTAACAATTTTTTAATTTAACAAAAAGCATTTTTAAACTTAGCGTTCTTCACAGGCATACGCTAGTTCTGACCTAAAGGAGTGGGTGACTGCCACTGGGACAGCGATTGGGAAGCTGCTGGCAGGCTGACACTAGGGATCAGTGAGAACCTAGAACGTTAACAAAAAACAAACCACACCTGTATGTCTCACAGTGTGTCCACGATGCTTCTCAACTGCATATCTCACAGTTTCCTCTAACATCCTTCCTTAGTTTTAACAAGTATCTTATCAACAAATTGTTAGAAATAGATCACCTGGGGTGAACACGTGCAGGGAGAACAATCATCCTGCCTGCTCCACAGATTTTCAGCTATGCTTCCAATCTTTCCGTACTAAAGCAATAAAACGCTATCCTTCAAATGCAAAGATGACAGGACAGGTATTTTTAAGCAAAAACATTGTCCCAAATTCTCTTTATAGAACAGAAGATGATTTAAGGGCTTCCCTGGTGGTTCAGTGGTGAAGAATCCACCTACCAATTCAGAAAACACAGGTTCAATCCCTGGTCTGGGAAGATCCCACCTGGCTCGGAGCAACTAAGCCTATGCCACCACACCTATTAAGCCTATGCTCTAGAGCCCAGCAGCCGCAACTACTGAGCTCACTGCTGAAGCCTGCGCACCCTAGAGCCCACGCTCCACAACAAAAGAAGCCACTGCAAGGAGAAGCCCGTGTACTGCAACTGGAGAGTAGCCGCTGCTTTCTGCAACTAGAGAAAAGCCCATGCCGCAAAGAAGACCCAGAACATTGAAAAATTAAATAAAGAAAACTTTTTAAAAGTCAGGTTATAAAAACAAACAAAAAAAAAGATGATTAAAAAAAAACTACAAGGTTACATATGTTTGGGAAATGCTACATACTAGAGCCCATTTTTAAAGATTCACAGTCCATGCTGGCATATTAAAGCTTCTGAGATCTAAAATAACAAAATTCATTTGTAACCAGCACTCCCCAAGTTTAGATGACTGCATAACTCCTTTCTCAAAATTCATATAAACATCCTCTAACACACATTTTGGGAAACACTGGAATTGTTAAAGCCTTGAACAATGATAGGAAAAACTATATATAGTCATTTCTCAGCTTCTCATAGATGGATCATTCCAGCAATAAAATTTTCTGATTTGTTGTGAATTGCATTATGTGCCTCTGAAAGAGATTTTGAAGACTAAAGCCCAACACTTGTGAATACAACCTTATTTGGGAATAGGGTCTTCACAGACGTTAAGTTAAGATGAAGTCATACTGGATTAGGGTGGCTCTAAATCCAACTGGTGTCCTTATAATAAGGCCATGTGAAGAGGGAGAACATTACATGAAGACAGAGACTGGAGCAATATGTCTGCAAGTCAAGGAACACCAAGGGCTTGCTGGCAACTACCAGAAGGTAGAAGACAGCTAAGGAATCGATTTCTCCCTCAGAGCCTCCAGAAGGAACCAACCCTACTGACATCTTGATTGTGGACTTCTGGCCTTCATAACTGTAAGAGAATAAATTTACTTTGTTTTAAGCCACCCAGTTTGTGGTACTTTGTTACAGCAACACTAGGTAATGAATATGTCATTCTTCATCATCAGAGATTTCAGGCCAATGACATCACTCACTTTCAGATAAAGATGGCAGATTGAACATACATATCTACTTTCACTCTCTCCTGAAATTTCAATACAACAACAGCAAAGGAATATTTTTAGAAGCAATAAACCCACAAAGATACAGAGTAAGAGAGATGACTTTAATAAAATTGTATTAGGTTGGTGCAAAAGCAATGGCAGGTTTGCATTGTTGCCATTTGTCACGTAATATTGGAAAGGAAAAAAAAGTGAAAATGTTAGTTGCTCAGTAATGTCCAACAACCCTATGCGACCCCACGGCTAGCCCACCAGGCTCCCCTGTCCATGGAATTTTCCAGGCAAGAATACTGGATTGGTAGCTATTCCCTTCTCCAGGGAATCTTCTAGACCCAGGAATCAAACCTGGGTCTTCGGCATTGCAGGCAAATTCTTTACTGTCTGATATTGGGATACATTTTTATTTTATTTATTTTTTTTGTTTTGTTTTGTTTTTTTGAGTATTATGAACACTATTGTTTTCTTTTTTGTTGTTGTTAGCATCACATTTCTTTTTTTTTTCATTTATTTTTATTAGTTGGAGGCTAATTACTTTACATCATTGCAGTGGTTTTTGTCATACATTGAAATGAATTAGCCATGGATTTACATGTATTCCCCATCCCGGTCCCCCCTCCCACCTCCCCCTCCACCCGCCCCCTCTGGGTCTTCCCAGTGCACCAGGCCCAAGCACTTGTCTCATGCATGGGATACATTTTTAAATAAGCGAAGCTATGTTATACATTGCTTTAATGCTCATTCTTGGTTTGGTTTTTTCCTAATGATATTACTTGCTGTTTATTTTGTATTTATTTGAGACTATGGAAATAATGTTAGACAAAAAGCAAATTCAAACGATTTTCTTGAGTTCAAATGGATCATAAAGCAATGAAAACAACACACAACATCAACAATGCATGTGGCCCAGGAACTGCAAACGAATGGACAGTGCAGTGGTGGTTCAAGAAGTTTTGCAAAGGAGACAAGAGCCTTGAAGAAAAGGAGTCTAGTGGCTGGCCATCAGAAGTTGACAACAACCAATTGAGAGTCATCACCAAAGGTGATCCTCTTACAACTAGAGAAGTTGCCAAAGAACTCAATGTCATCCATTCTATGATTGCTTGGCATTTGAAGCAAATTGGAAAAATGAAAAAGCTTGATAAAGTGGGTGCTTCATGAGCTGACCAAAAATCAAAAAGATTGTCATTTTGAAGGGTCATCTTCTCTTATTCTATGCAACAATGAATCATTTCTCAATCAGATTGTGATGTGCAACGAAAAATGGATTTTATATGACAACCAACTCAGTGTCTGAACTAAGAAGCTCCAAAGCACTTCCCAAAGCTAAACATGCAACAAAAAAAAGGTCGCTGTCATTGGTGGTCTGCTGCTGGTCTGATCCACTGCAGCTTTCTTGGGGCTTCCCAGGTGGTGCTAGTGATAAAGAATCTGCCTGCCAATGAAGGAGACGTTAAGAGACATTGGTTTGATCCCTGGGTTGGGACAATCCCTTCTGAACCCCAGCAAAACCATTACAACTAAGAAGCATGCTCAGCAAGTCGATGAGATGCACTGAAAACTGCAACACCTGCAGCCCGCATTGGTCAACAGAAAGGGCCTGATTCTTCTCCATGACAATGCCCAACTACACGTCACACAACAAATGCTTCAAAAGGTGAATGAACTGGACCACCACATTTTGCCTCATCCGCCACATTCACCTGACCTCTGGCCAATCAACTACCACTTCTTCAAGCATCTTAACAACTTTTTGCAGGGAAAATGCTTTCCAAGAGTTCACTGAATCCCGAAGCACAGATTTTTACACTATAGGAATAAACAAACTTATTTCTCATTTGGTAAAAATCTGTTGATTATAATGGTTCCGATTTTGATTAAAAAAGATGTGTTTGAGCCTAGTTGTAAGGATTTAAAATTCATGGTCCAAAACTTCAATTACATTTGCACCAACCTAATAGAAACAGAAAGGAGAAGGAAATGGATGGATAGTAGCTTAGGTGCTACAAGACATTTCACACTTGAACTGAACGACCTGTCTTCTCTTTGTGTACCTAGCAGTAAACTTCAAGAGGGGTATGATAGTTTGGGTTGTTGTTAACTCTGCGTGAACTCCATTCTGGCTGAATAGAGTTCCCACCATTCCTGAGAGAGGTAGTGAGCTACACGGCAAGAGTGATGTTTTTCTGCATATGGTTGTATTAGCTTGTGCACTGATCATGATCCAATAAACTGTGGTCAGAGTGGAACACTGGAGTGAGTAGCCTTTCCCTTTTCCAGAGGAAACTTCCCAACCCAGGGATCAAACCCAGGTCTCCTGTACTGCGGGCGGATTCTTTACCAGCTGAGCCACAAGGGAAGCCCAAGAATACGGGAGTGGGTAGCCTATCCCTTCTCCAGTGGATCTTCCCAAACCAGGAATCGAACTGGAGTCTACTGCATTGCAGGTGGATTCTTTACCAACTGAGCTATGAGGGAAGCCCCCATCCACAGTATATGTTTCTATAATGTTATAATGTTTCATGACAAGCACATATCACCTTTCCTTCTGCCAAGAAGAATAAAAATATAAAGATCAGAGACAATAAACAGAAGAGAAATGCTCCTTATACTAGATGGACTGAAGTGGTCCATTAGGCTCAAAATGTCTATGTAATTCAGTTTCTTGCCAAAAGCTGTTGTGACTCAAGTCCTTTGCTTGGAGTGAAATCACCCTGCCACTCTGACCACAGTTTATTGGATCATGATCAGTGCACAAGCTAATACAACCATATGCAGAAAAACATCACTCTTGCCGTGTAGCTCACTACCTCTCTCAGGAATGGTGGGAACTCTATTCAGCCAGAATGGAGTTCACGCAGAGTTAACAACAACCCAAACTATCATACCCCTCTTGAAGTTTACTGCTAGGTACACAAAGAGAAGACAGGTCGTTCAGTTCAAGTGTGAAATGTCTTGTAGCACCTAAGCTACTGTCCAGCCTCAACTGGGACTCAGGGTGACTCCTCTAAGGCTGACAGGACAACTTCATTCCAAAATATCCTTCAATAAACCTATATACACACATCAAAAAAGCAAGACAAAAAAGTTTTCACTTCACAAATTCAAGAAAATTAGCTATCAAGGGCCACTAAATGCATCAGCTTTCCAAGAATACAGGCAAAAAATGATGAAATAATAAGAGCCAAATGGAAGAAACATATTTTCAAATTAACTGCAAATGAGGATTATCAAAGTATACACCATTCATCATTTCATTTCTTTTCATTTTTCGGCTCTTTTCCAACTACCAAAGGCTGGGTATGAAAGAGATAAAATTCAATGTAATGTAATTTAGTTGTGAAAAAGGAAGTTAAAACCAAGAGCAAGAGTTAGATGGTTTTTGAGTAATCTGAATTTAAACCAGTAAAATAAATAATCTTCTGATAAGTCATTCTACTCACCTTTCCTGTATGACAGATTTGTCAATCTATCACCAGATACCTATTTCATAATCATTTAAGTTTAATTATGGAACAATTTAAGTTTAACTATGGAACAATTCTGGAGCTGATAAAAGATAAAACACTAATTGAAATTTTTAAATAAAATATAACATAAAACATGACAAAACAGATTGAAATTAATATCTTTTCTTCCTCCACTTACTAGTTGTTACACAGTGAAGAGTATTTGCTTGGTGCTTAGAATTTAATGCTTCTATGGAAATCACTAGCTGTCCTTCTAGCAATGCTCCCTTTGATACTCCTGCTGTTTCACACCTCTGGTGAATTATTAAATATTTCAAAATCTGGAAAGGGCACAATTCAAAGAAACCACAATCTTCTTTAAAAATCATGGTAATAATAAACTTGTATGATAGTTAATAATTCTCATTTCCAAAAAATAATATTCTTGCTTGCAAAATGTCAGATTTACACTTGTTAAGGAACAAAGCATTGTGTCTAAACAGAGGAAACAGCTAGGTGAGTGACATAAAAAGAAGACAGTGAAATTCAACACAATGTCCAAAACAGGAAATGAAGACAACAAATTGCTTTATTCAAAGGATAAATTCATCTGGAAATAATAAGTGGGAAAAATTCAGTGGGAGTTTGTTTTTCCTGTTTCTTTTTTTCTTTCCAAACAAAAGTCAACATGAAGATTATGAATAATAATGGCATCTGCTTGTGAATCTTTACTTTTCATTACATCAACATTTCCCAGGGTCAGAATACTAGTTAAGAGCACTGACTTTGGAAGCAGATACCAGGGTTTGAAACCCTGATGAGTCAAATACTAGCATGTGACCTTGTGCAAGTTACTTAACTTCTCTGTAACACTGCTTCCTCACTTATAAAAATGAGGACAAATCTACCACATATGGTGGCTGCCAAACGTAAGCAAAACGATATGTTCAAAATGTTTAACAGTGCCTGGCAGATAGTAAATGCTTAATAAATATTAGCTATTATTTCTAATAAAGTCATCTGCACACAATATTCTAACTTGAACAGGTCTCCAAGGTATCTTGGTAAAACATTGAATCTTGATAATTTTAAAATAAAATATATTGTATTTAATTTCCATGATTATTTATGAAAGTAGACTCTCACTTCCACACTGAGGTACCTGTAGCAAAAGTTATTACCCCGCGCCCCCCCCCCGCCTTTTTCAAAGGCAGAAAGATCTCAGCATGAGAACATGGGAACTAAGATCCTAATTTGTACCAGTTTGTAAGGATGGTTTTCAGGCTTTTCTACAGTCTAACACTTTCCCTCACACATCCTCTGACTTACTGTGCTCCCTCTGTTCAGATTTTCCCACAGTTTCTTTATCCATAATGAGAGAGCAGTTGGGAAAAGAACACTAGCCTGTGAGTCAGAAGCTCTGGGTTCTATCCTAGGTTCTGTCATCTGCAAAATCTAAACCTCCAACTTTCTTTGACAACAAAGAAGGCAGAAAGATTGGGAAAACTCGAGGTGCCTTCAGGTCAACCTCTTGTAGACTATGGTTCTATTTAATCTGTCTCTGTGTTAAAGAATCCGCCTGCCAATGCAAGGGACCTGGGTTCCACCCCTGGGTCAGGAAGATCCCCTGAAGGAAGAGATGGCAACCCACTTCAGTATTCTTGCCTGGGAAATTCCATGGACAGAGGAGCCTGGCGGGCCACAGTCCATAGACGGGTCGCAAGAGAGTCCGACATGACTCAGTGATTAAACAACAAAAAATTAAGTACTAGCTAGTACTAGAGGTCTTCCCAATCTTCCTGCCTTCTTTGTTGTCAAAGAAAGCTGGAGGTTTAGATCTTACAGATGACAGAACCTAGGTTAGAACCCAGAGCTTATGGGTTCTGCTTCGACAAAAAACTGACCCATTGGAGAAGACCCTGATGCTGGGAAAGAGCGAAGGCAGGAGAAGGGGACAACAGAGGATGAGATGGTTGGATGGCATCACCGACTCAATGAACATGAGTTTCAGCAAGCTCCGGGAGTTGGTGATGGACGGGGAGGCCTGGCGTGCTGCAGTCCATAGGTCGCTGAGTCGGACACGACTGAGCGACTGAACTGAATGACTAGTAATTAATCCGTCTACGGTTTACAGTTAACTACGAGGTCAGTAAAGAATTCAATCAGGTAAGGCTGTGAAAACTGTCACGAATGAATGAAAGCGGCCACGCTGTGCTAGGTGTTCAGTCCCACCCTCCAGAGCATCTCGGGTCCATGGTGGTCTGAGCTGGGTGACTGAGGCGTCCGAACCTCAGGTTCTCATCATCCCGCTGTCCGGGCCATGACCCAGGAATCCCCTCCAAAACTCTGGTGACCCGATCGCCTGACCCGGCTTTCCCTCGCCCCCACTTCAGCACAAGTTGGCCTCGACTCCCCCCGACCCCGTCTCCCCTCATCCCTGCTGTCCGCGCGCTCTCCCGGCATGGGCTGCCATCCGAGCTCGAACTCTAGCGTCCGCTGAGGTGTGGCAAACCCTTGAGCTACCTGAGCAGCTTTCTTAGGCGTCAGGTGGGGGGGACACCCGGGCTCAGCGGACGACCATGCCCCTCCCCACACACACTGACTAAATACTTCTGAGCGTCCCCCGGGTTTGACTGCCCAGGCGCTCCTACGCCTCGCGTCTCATCTGCTCCTCACAACCCCGCGAGGGACAGGCTGACTCGAACCGAATCCTACCATTCCCGAACCTTCCTTCTCCCTCAGGCAACGCCAGACCCCTCTGCCCAAACTTCTCGGCCTCCTCACAAGACCCGTCTCCTCAGAGTGTCCTCCTTTGCTTTCTCTCCCTTCCCGGCATCACCTCGCAAACTGCCACCGCCGGCCCCTCCATTCCGCACCGGGAGCAGCAACCACGCCCAGTGGCGGGGCGCCCGCGGGGGCTACGACCTCCGCCCGCGCCAGCGCCCACGCCCACGCCCTCGTCTGGCAGCCCGACGCGGTCCTGAGAGCCGCCGGGACCTGCCCGGCGTGGCCCAGAGGGCCCGGTAGTGGCGGCGGCGGCCCGTGGGCGGATAGCTGGGCGCGCGGCGGCGACGGGGAGAGCCCGCGGGTGGCAGCCGAGGCTGTGGGCGAGCAGGAATGAGGCCAGGCCACGACTCCTCCTTCCTCCCCAAAGGACTTTCCCACGGTCCCGCCGCGAGGTGCAGCCCTCAGCCCTTGGCCTCTCCCCTGGCGAGGGGCTGAAGTGCTGGATGCGGGATTCCCGAGCCGGTGCCTGACCTCCGAGCAGTCTCACCTCCTGGAGGGGCTGCTCCAGGCGCCCCAAGCCAGCCTCTGGTTCCCAGACTTTAGCAAATAAAACAGAGTTACATGTTAATTTCAGGTTTTAAAAATATTTTAATCATACCTGTATCCTATGCAACATTTGGGACATATATGTACTGAAAAAAAAAAAATGGTTCATCTGAAATTCAAAACTGGACTTTTGAAATTCAAGACTTGTATTTTATCTGGCAACCTGTCCCGAGCAGGTCCCCAGCTTAATCCCCGGGTGCCCAGCCAGCGATAGTTAGGATCTGGAAAGGAACAAGCCCCCCACGTTTGTGCATTAAATATGCCAATGACAGGACGAGGGTTTCTTAGTCTGCGGCTCACAGGAGAAGCTCTGGGAGAGCATTCCCAGCTGATGGGAAAGAAGGTAGTCCTCCAGACTCTGGCTGGTGAGCTCAGGGCTGGTCAGGGAGGGGCAGGTAAGAGGGGCTTGAGCCCAAACTGATCATTTGGCAGCTGGTTCCTCAGGCATCCAAAAGAAAACTAGTGAGAGAGAATCCTGCCTGGCAGAGTTGCCCAAGGAGGAGGGTGGGGCAAGGTGTTGGCTGCTTTCCTTCAGGGAAAATTCTTCCACCCCAGCTCCAAGAAGCCAGGACTGGGCAAAACAGGCAGGGGAGCTGGCAGAGTGCCTGTCCTGAACACAGCTTTGGTGCTGCTCCAGAGTATATGTGTGCTGAGACCTGGATCATAGCCTTCTTCATCTTTGTTAAGTGCTGTGGACCACCCTCCACACCTCTGTTGCTCACAGGCAGACCTACTGGAGAAAATGGCTTTTATTATATTTATGGAAAGTTCATCATAATACCATCTGGGACTTGCTAAGATAGCTGACATTTGGGAAATCATTGGCGCCTTCCTCTCCCTCACTCTCTTCTCTCTCAGGTGTCCGCTTTAGGAAGGTGATTGCAAGGGGAAGGGAGCTAAGATTGAATGACTGACAGCCTGTTGTCAGGTAGCACTGGCTCTTTACATACATTTTTTTTTTTTTTTACTCTCACAAGTACCTTGTGAGATCGCTGATGGAGTGAGAAACCAAGATGCTGAAGATGGCTATTTAAAATATTTCCTATGGCAAGTGTTGGCTCAGCAGAAAATGCCCCACCTTGAGAATGACACTGGGATTCTCAGGAAGGGTGGAGAAACAGTGCCAGCGTAGAAGTACTTCAGATGAGTTGGTCTTCAAGCCCTTGTCCTTGGAGTGAACTTCAGGGATGAACAGGCATTGGGACATCCAACATCATCCTAGAGTTAACGAATGCCTAACAGAGATAGCCAGGGACCAGACATAGGCAGAAGTGATAAAGGGAGCCTGTGATCTGAGGGCCTGCCATCAGGATCGCTGCCATATAAACCATTGTAGTCAGCAAAGTTTGATGGGGACTTGCTGTGCTAAGTGGCCTTCACCTTTCGTTTATCTTAAGTAGTCCTCCCAACCTTCTAAGGGAGGTATTGTTATCGTTGTTTTACAAATCATGAAACTGAGGTTCCAAGAGGAGGTTGTATGACAGAGTTTGTAAATGGCAGAGCCAGAATCTGAAATAATAACCTCTTTATTTATTCGCTGCATTGGGTCTTAGTTTCATCAGCCATGGCATGTGGAATCTTAGCTCCCCAACCAGGGATTGCACCTGCATCCCCTGCATTGCAAAGCAGATTCTTAACCACCGGACCACCAGGGAAGCCCCTGAAATAAAAATCTCTTAACCACTCCTTCCAGTTTCTTACAGCTATGCAGTGCATCTCCCACATGGATGTGACCTGCCTAACTGTTTGTCTCAGCGTTCCGCAGTATAGGGACATCAACGTGACCAGGAGAAGCCAACCCCTCCATGCAAAAGCTAAGACAATGACCTCAGATACATTCACCTCCCTACAAACTAAGGCTTAAATGAGCCACAGCTTCACCCTTATTTCACCCATGAGTGTGTGCCCCCATTCTGTTTGGGGTCTAGAACCTTACATACTACTGGAGTGACTCCACATTATTAAAACTGTATTTACTCAGAGCCCATCCTCAAAGTAGTGGAGTGTCAGAGCCAGAAAGGATTGTAGAGGTTATCAGTGATACCCAGTAGATGAAAAAATTGAGGCCCAAAGAAATGAAATGATCTGTGTG